AGACAGGCCGAAGAACCCAGCCACGAGCGCGAGCGCACTCTCTCTCTCTCTCTTCCTCTCTCTCTCTCTCTGAAGATTTAAAGGCCATGATCGGCTAAACGATCGCGCCGGCGCGGCATCTCCGGGCGCTGGAACTGGCAGAAAACGGTTTCGCTTAACTCGGGAGGGCGGGGAGATCTTGATGACGCAGACGCAGGGGATGATAGGGGAGAAGGAAAGGACGGGCAGCTGGAGGATGACCAACGCAATTCAACAGGTCGGATGAGGTGGACGACCAACCTCACGAAGAGGGGATGATGACGAGGAGGAGGAGGAGGAAACGAAGGACAATGAGGAGAAGGAGGGGATGAAGGGGGACGATGAGGCAGATGAGGGGGAGACGGATGAACGAAGGGGCAACGACGAAGATGGGGGAACCCGACGTTTGAATAACATGTGTCCGTATCACTTGGTGCACATTTGTGGCGTCGAATCGATGCATGATGCCTCAGGTTCTTAAGTTTTGGGTCCCCGATCGCATCGCCGATATTGTTGCAAGTTCGTCCGCCTGCCCACCGTCGCTTTGATAGTGTGCGCCCTGCGCGCAACCATCCGACAACGATCACCGAAACGCACCGCCCCGCTGAAGGACACCAGCCAGGTCGCATCTGGCGCGTCACCAATGTCACCGATATCGGTGACATCGGTGACGCGGCGGCGATGTGGCTTGCAGGCCTGGCGCCCTCGATGCGAGGTGGGCGCTTCGCCGCTCGTTAGTTGTGGGCGCGTTCTGGCCCCAGGGGCGCGCCGCCTCGAGGGCGCCCGCCGTCGCCGCCGCCTCCTCTTCCTCCTCCTCCGCTTCCTCCTCCTCCTCCTTCTCCTCCTCCTTCTCTTTTTCCTCCCCTCTTCTTCCGCCTCTTCCTCCTCCATTTCCGTTTCCTCCTCCTCTTCTTCCTCCTCCTCCTCCTCCTCCCCCGTTCCATCCTTATCTCAATTTCAATCCTTATCCTCCTCTTCCTGATCCTCCTTGTCCTCGCCCTCCTCCTCCTCTTCCTCTCCCTCCTCTCCCTCCTCTCCCTCTTCCGCGCTATGTTGGACAATCTCGTAAGTTGTATTTCGAGTCGTTCGCGACGTGCCTGCGTCTCGCTCGTGGCGCGTACCGTGGCCCGCGGCTCGCATGTGATTTGCACCTGCGTTACCGCAGCCATGTCATAACCTCACTCTTATCCGCAACTAACGCAAGAAAATCAGAACGATTGACAGCCATGCGAATCGAACTGCTGCAATGATTAACATGCGATGGCATCGCGCGCAACAGTCATATATTACATTTAAGATGCAACAGAAAATAGAAAATAAAACTTGTTGTGCGTTGCGCACAGAAAACAGCGATCACAGAAAATGGCGTGACAACATGTTGTCACTGCCTGCTAGCATCTACTGCGCGTGACCAAATATTGCCACGACAAATTTCGTGACAGAAAAGCTGTCACACCGGACCTGTGGGACCAGGGAGGAGCTGCACCGGCGAGGTCTAGAGACAACTCTTGTGGGGTACGCGGACGACTTGTACATCGTGGGGCCGGCTGCTAACCTCGCGGCGTCGCACGACGTGCTGGCTACGGAGCTCGCGCGGGTGGGCTTGCAGTTTGCGCCGGAAAAAAAAAACGAAAGTTTGGTTGGCTTCTCCCGAGGCAGCGCAAACCCTCCCGGCGACGCTGCATCACGCTGCGGTGCCCGACTTTCCCGTGTTAGGGTGCACTCTCTACCACCACGACCGCGAGGACGACTTGGCGGCAGGGTTTGGCAACTCCGAGCAGGGAATGCAGAAGGCGGCGGCGCTGGTGCGCGCTACGGCCGCCACGCTCAAGGACGCCCGAAAGCGCGGGCTCGGCTGCCAGGTCGCGGGCGCGATTCTGCGGTACGTCACAGTCGGCGCCCCTCAGCACCTGCTCCGCTCGCGCCTCTGGAGTGAACCCGCACTCGCGGCCTACGACGCCGCCGTCGCGGACGCTCGGGCCGAGCTGATCGGCGCCCACCTGACCCCGGAGCAGATCGCGATCGGCAACCTGCCGCTTCGCGACGGCGGCGTCGCCTTCGGCTTAGCCGCGCCGCGGGCGTCGGCGGCTTTCCACACGGGATGGCGCCGCCACCTCTGGCGGCAGTGCGCCGGGGCTCCCTTGTACACAGAGCAGGGCCTACGCGCAGCTTTCCCCGAGCTCGCAGCGGAGCTGGCCAAGGCAAAAGCAGACTTGACGACCCGGGCGCCCGCGCTGGTCGGCGACGTGAAATTGGATTTCACTGCCGAGCCCCACAAGCGCATGCAGAGGATGATCACGGACGCCGTGAACCTCCGGGCGCGCGAGAACATCCTTGCCAGCGTCCAGGAACCTTGGAGGGCGCGGCTGCGGCAGGCAGGCGGCGCTGGCGCCGGCAGCTTCTTGTGCGTGCCCCTGCCCGGCAACGAGGCCATCGCGGACGGAGCCTGGCGCATGGCTCTGCGCAGACGCCTACTGTGCACAGTTGAACAGATAGTCTTTCCAGCGCGTGCGGAGACGCATTGCCGACACTCCGGTCCACGGGTTGCCTGCGGGGCGCAGCTGGATGGCCTTGAGGGTCTCGCGCGCGCAGAGGGGTGCAAGATCGGCGGCGAGGTGGTCGGGGGCCACAACGAGATCCGCGACATCCTGCGGCGGAGGAAGACGGCCCAAACGGGGGCGAGTTCGAGGAGGAGGAGGAGGAGGCGGAGGGGGAGGCAGGCGGCAGGAGGAGGAGGAGGAGGAGGAGGAGGCAGAGGGCAGAGGGGCTAGCGCTGAGGACCAGGGAGGACGACAACGCCGAGGCTACTAAGGAGGGGCGCCGGCGACGACGCCCGCAACCAACGCGGACGGGCCAGAGGAGGAGGAGGAGGAGGCAGAGGAGGAGGAGGAGGAGGAGGAGGAGGAGGAGGAAGAGGAGGAGGAGGAGGTCGAGCCAGGCCCAGACGAGGAGGAGGAGGAGGAGGCGGAGGAGGAGGTGGAGGAGGAGGAGGTGGAGGCAAAGAACGAGGCAGAGGGCGAGGAGGAGCCCGACCGAAAGGGAACCAGAACCGAGAGAGGAGCTCTAGACAGAGGGGCGCCGAGAAGGGGGAGGAGGCGGAGGAGGCAGAGACCGAGGAGGCAGTGAGCGAGGGAGAGCTGGCAGGGCCCGGCGCTGAAGCTAGGAGAGGCAGCGGCGCCGGCGGGGCCACCCGCGCCGCCGGCGGGAGAGCGCAGCGAGCGGGCCCCGGGCGCCAGGGCGCGCGGGCGTGCGGGGACCTTGTCCGGCGTGGCCGTCGGCCCCCCTGGGTGATGGGGGTGCCGGTCCCGCTCGGGAGCCGGCGGCCGGAGCAGGAGCAAGAGCAGGAGCAGGAGCAGGAGCGGGAACCGGAGGAGGAGGAGGAGAAGGAGGAGGAGGAGGAGGACCAGGACCAGGACCAGGACCAGGACCAGGACCAGGACCAGGACCAGGACCAGGACCAGGACCAGGACCAGGACCAGGACCAGGACCAGGACCAGGACCTGGACCAGGACCAGGACCAGGACCAGGACCAGGACCAGGGCCAGAGGAGAAGAGAAGAAGAGGAGAAGAGGAGAAGAGGAGAAGAGGAGGAGGAGGAGGAGGAGGAGGAGGAGAGGAGGAGAGGAGGAGGAGAGGAGGAGGAGAGGAGGAGGAGAGGAGGAGAGGAGGAGAGGAGGAGGAGGAGGAGGAGGAGGAGAGGGGCAGGAGGAGCAGAGGAGAGGCAGGAGCAGGAGCAGGAGCAGGAGAGGAGCAGGGCAGGAACAGGAGCAGGAGGAGGCGAAGAGGAGAAGAGGGAGAAGAGGAGAAGAGGAGGTGGAGGAGGAGGGGGAGGAGGAGGGGGCGGGGGAGGGGGGGGGGGAGGAGGAGGAGGAGGACGAGGAGGAGGAGGAGGAGGAGGAGGGAGAGGAGGAGGAGGGGAGGAGGAGGAGGAGGAGAGGAGGAGGAGGAGGAGGCGGAGGAGGAGGAGGAGGAGGAGGAGGAGGAGGAGGGGAGGAGGAGGAGGAGGAGAGGAGGAGGAGGAGGAGGAGGAGGAGGGGAGGAGGTGGAGGAGGAGGAGGAGGAGGAGGGGGGAGAGGGGTTTTGCGAGGTCCTTGCGAACCTTTCTGGGTCGGCGCCAGACTCCCTGGCTCGGCGCCTTTTTGAGGCCACCCCTCCTTGACGTGCTTTCCTCTCGCCGTGGGGGGTCAGCGCCGACCCAGAAACGTCCGCGCGGACCTACAGCAGTTTGCGTCGGTGCATGTACGCTGGTCTGCTGGCATGGACGCCTTCGGGAGCGGTTCGGCCATTCACCACCCACCAAACCACCCCTGACCCAACCCGAAGGCCTCAGTTTGCCTCCATTTCCAGTGTGTGGGGGGGGGGAGCATTGAAAAAAACAAATGTGGAGCCCGTGCCCCCCCCAACCCGAACTTCGGGACTTCGGGTTGGGTTGGGGTGGTCTGGTAGGTAGTCAACCATGCCCTTTCAATCCCTGGCCTCATGCACCCAGTGCGTTATGGTTCGATTGTGCCCCGTTGCGCTGAAGCGTCGTTGGCTTTCTTTGGTGCCCCGTGTCTGCGGTCGCGCGTGCAGTTTCATGAGTCATGCGCTTCCCCCCTTTTCAGAAGCTTGTCAGGGGCCGTGCGGGAGGCCCCTGCTGGCAATCTCGGCAGTTTGCATCTTCACATCTTTTGTAGGAGGCGATTGACCCATCGTGGGGGTATGTGGGCCATCTGGATTGCTATCGATGCCGTCTTGGAGTTGTATTGGGCTGTGTTAGGGCAGTGCATAGGGGTTGGGCTGGCCTGGGGCGGCCGCGGAATGCATCCAGCCTGCATTGGGGCCCTCCGGCGCTGATTGCGTGTCGAATTGAAAAAGGCCTGCAGACTAGCCTTCCCCCAGGGGCGGCCTCGCGCGCGTGGTTTGCGCAGGACTTGTGGAGGGCAGTGGAGGGTTGCTTTTTGCGCTCCCTCCTGAGGAGTCGTGTGTGTCTCTCTTGCAGGATGGCTCTGCCTTCCCCGTGGCGGAGTTCAGCGAACGGCTCTACCTCAGGCTCGGGAGGGGAGAAACAACACGGACACAACTCGTCGTCGACCCCCAGGAACAGGTGGGAGCAACTTGGGCCACCTACAGTCGGGGCCCTGAAGAAGGAACCCTTTTCGTTGGGGAGGGGCTCGGTGTTCCTTAGTTGTGTTGTAGTTCGCCTTTGGTTTTCCTGAGGTCTTCCATGGGAAATCGAAGTTTAACCTATGGGGAAAAAAGGGCCCCGTTCCTTTATCTAGGGTTCCTTAGGTCAACGCCCCGACTGTAGGAAAAGTGGGGGGGGGCAGACGAAGGCCCCAGAGGGCGTGCGAAAGTCCGGGGGCATCCTGGGAGTTGTGTCCATCCACTTGTGTGCCCCTGCAGCTCCTCCTCCTCCTCCTTCTCCTCCTCCTCCTCCTCCTCCTCCTCCTCCTCCTCCTCCTCCTCCTCCTCCTCCTCCTCCTCCTCCTCCTCCTCCTCCCCTTGCAGGCCCGAAAGGTCCAGCTCCGCGCGGCGGACGAGGGTCCTGGTCTCGGCGCGCCTGGGCCTCGACCTGGCGCCCCACGCCGGCGCGGAGCCCGGCAGCCGTGGGGTGGTGCGGCTCGTCCTGCTGGACGGAGGGTGGGACGCACCACGGGCAGGAGGAGGAGGAATCAGGAGGAGGAGGAGGAGGAATCAGGAGGAGGAGGAGGAAAAGGAGGAAGGAGGAGGAAGGAGGAGGAGGAGGAGGAGGGACAGGAGGAAGGGAAGGAGGAGGAGGAGGAGGAGGAGGAGGAGGAGGGAGGAGAAGGAGGAGGAGGAGGAACGGAGGAGGAGGAGGAGAAACAGGAGGAGGAGGAGGAACAGGAGGAGGAGGAGGAGGAGGAGGGAGGAGGAGGAGGAGGAGGAACAGGAGGAGGAGGAACAGGAACAGGAGGAAGGATGAGAAGGAGGAGGGGGGGAGGCGGGGGAGAATCAGGAGGAGGAGGAGGAAGAGGAGGAGTGGGAGCAGGAGGAGGAGGAGGAGGAGGAGGAGGACGGAACAGGAGGAAGGGAAGGGGGCTGATGGTGATGCCGGTGAGGACCGTGGGTGTGAGAATTATCATCCCGACGAGACGGCGGCGGAGGAGGATGGGGAGGAGGGTGGATCGCCGCGCGTCCACCGCCGCAGGCTTGGCCCGCCTCGGGCCCGGGAGTGATTGTACGCCGGCCCCCGGTCAGGCCAGGGGTAAGTCGGGCCTGTCCCTCTGCAGGGCCGATGTTTCAAAAAACAATCAAGAAATAGTCTGGGGGGGATTTGGTTGACCATTTTTGACCCTTTTGGGTTTTTTTCCAACCCTCCTATGGTTGGGTACTCGTTTTGAATAGAGCAGTGTGGTCGCCCCGTCCTTTTTCTCCTCCCCCCTCCTCTCCCGCCCTCCGCGGTGCGGCCTTGGGGCACGAATTGCACCGCGTGGGCCAGTATACATTCTGCGATCGGTGCGGTGTGTTCTCGAGCGAGAGGGGGTGCAAGCTCTTGGCTGCCTGCGTGGGGGCCCCTGCGAACCCCACCGCAGAGTACCGCCTCTCGCTCCTGCGCCGAGGCAAAAATCCTTATGCAGTGAAGGTCTCCCTGGAGGCAGAGCCGCGCTCCCTGGTACAGGAGGAGTGCGCAGCGTTCTGGGAGCGCCTCATGGACTGATCTGGAAGGGGCGGGATGGCACCCCGAGGTGGAGTGCCCGCCCATCCGTCTCACATGTGGCGAGCTGGGGCGGGGACCGCCAGGCATCGTTTTTGCAGCAAGCTCTCCTCTTCTCTCGTGCCGGCGGGCTGCGACCTGCGCAAATATCGCCATTTTCGTGGGCTCCTGAGAGGCTCAGCGGAGGTGGGTCCCACGCGGATCACATCGAGACCTCGCGGTGCCCTGGGGGCTGCGATCTGCGCAAATGTCGCCACTTTCGTGGGCTCCTGGGAGGCCCAGCGGAGGTGGGTCCCACGCGGATCACCTCGAGACCTCGCGGTGCCCTGGGAGCTGCGATCTGCGCAACTGTCGCCACTTTCGTGGGCTCATGGGAAGCCCAGCCGAAATGGGTCCCACGCGGATCACCTCGAGACCTCGCGGTGCCCTGGGGGTTGCGATCTGCGCAACTGTCGCCACTTTCGTGGGCTCTTGGGAGGCCCAGCGGAGGTACGTCCCACGCGGATCACCTCGGGACCTCGCCGCCCCTTGGGGGGCCTGCGATCTGCGCAACTGTCGCCATTTTCGTGGGCTCCTGGGAAGCCCAGCGGAGGTACGTCCCACGCGGATCATTCGGAGGTATGGCATACGCGTTTCTTGCAACGCCCCTGTGTTTCCATGTTGTATAGTTGCCATTCCTCTTCTTGCTGCGCTCTTCTGAAATCACTGTTGGGTGCTCTTTTTGCGCACTGCGGGTCCTTCAGAGTGCCAGTCAGCATTGAGTGGTCCTGAGTATAATCGCCACATGTATAGGAAGGGTTGGGTACGTCACAAGATATTTTTGTTTTTGCTGCGTTTCATTGTTCGTCCAATATCGGCCTGGAGGGGGAGAGGCCGAGAGGCCCGACTTGGAGACCGGGAGGCATGTATCATGGGGGAATGAAAGGGGGGGGGATGGTCATAGGGGGGATGCATCGATCCCCAATCGCCCATGGATCGCCGACAGGGGCCCGATGGCCCGGGCCTATCGCCGATCTGTCGGCTATGGTTCGCCGATTCCAGGTCGGTGTTCCTCCCCCTATGCCAGTACTCCAGATATCGTAATAAGAGGGAGGGGGTCTGGACCCTCCAAGACGAGCCATTTCAGACCTCCCCCGTGGGAGAACCCTCCAAAACATCGTCCCCAGACCCCCCAGGCCCTCCAAGATAGCCTGGCAAGAGACCCCCCCCCCTCACGCTACGAGCATAAACTGTCAGAGCTCCGCGCGGACGTCTTGCATCGGCGCCTGGGCCCCCCCCTGGCGGCCCGCTGGCGCCGCCCCAGGCGCCGCCCCCGGCGCGCAGCGCGCATCCACGAAATCCACGCGGACCTCCAAAAATTCATGTTTACTCCAGATTTCGTAATAAAAGGGAAGGGGTCTCAACCCTCCCAGACGAGAAGTTTTAGACCCCCCCCCTGGGAGAACCCTCCAAAACATCGTCCCCAGACTCTCTCAGGCCCTCCAAGATAGCCTGGAAGAGACCCCCCCTGAAATGAGACCCCCCCTCCCTTTATTACGAAATCTAGAGTACAATGCCCAACAACAAATGTTGTCCCAAACCAAGATTGTCGTTGGGCATTGTACTCTAGATTTCGTAATAAAAGGGAGGGGGGTCTGATTTCGGCGGGGGGGTCTCTTCCAGGCTACCTTGGAGGGCCTGGGGGGGTCTGGGGACGACGTTTTGGAGGGTTCACCCACGGGGGGGGGTCTAAAACTTCTCGTCTGCGAGGGTTGAAACCCCCTCCCTTTTATTACGAAATCTGGAATAGGCAGTTGTCTTGTCCTCCTGGGCGGAGGGTGGGAGGTATCCCTAAAGCCCCCCGTTCCAGGATGCGTTTCGAATCCTCCGGTTCGTTCCGATGCGATGCATATTGTTCTTCCGATTCCGATTCGATTCGACTCGGGGCTCCGATCTGGGTTCGGACTCTTGTGTTGGGGGCATACTAGTCTGCCGATGTCCGCCGATTCGACTCGTCGATTTGATTCTGGGCTCTCCTGCCCATTCCGTTCAGCCATGTGGAGAGGGGGGTCGGGGGAGGGGGCAGTGCTTCTTAGAAGCACCACTGCTTCGTAGAAGGCGCGGGCCTCATCGATTGCTCCATGGCTGGCGCCTCACACGTAAGAGGCAGCCTCCTAAGAACCTTCCCCCCTTCCCTGCACCCCCTTGTGCGCGCCGTCAACTTCCAGTGCGGCGTGCCAGGCTGCGTGCCATGTTCACATTGCATCTTCGCCAGGGCCTTGCCTGTCCTTGTGGATGCCCGTATCCGACGCGGATGCGGCGCGGTCTCCATCCGCGCGGGCTCCACGCGGAGTCGACTCGCCTTCGGCGCAGAACTCTGCACGCACGAGATGGGCACGGAAAGAATTGGTACACCTTAGGCGATGCTTGAGAAAACTTAAGTTTTCGGCCAGAGTCTCGATTATTCTTCATGTTTCAATGTAAATCCTAAGATTTAAATGGAAATGTCGGGTTTTGATTCAAGTTCTGAGAATATGAATTTCTAAACCCATGATTTCTTAAGCATTTCGCAGGGTGTACAATGCCCAACAGCGGATCCTGCTCATTTTGAACAGGACTCGCTGTCCGCGCCGCCGCGGCCCGTGTCCACTTCGGACGGAAGGCCGCCTGCCCAACAGCGGCCGCTGCTGGTTTGGGACAGCATTTGTTGCTGGGCATTGTACTCTAGATTTCGTAAGAAAGGGAGGGGGGGTCTCATTTCGGGGGGGGTCTCTTCCAGGCTATCTTGGAGGGCCTGGGGGGGTCTGGGGACGATGTTTTGGAGGGTTCTCCCAGGGGGGGGGTCTAAAACTTCTCGTCTGGGAGGGTTGAGACCCCCTCCCTTTTATTACGAAATCTGGAGTAAACATGAACTTTTGGAGGTCCGCGTGGATTTCGTGGATGCGCGCTGCGCGCCGGGGGCGGCGCCTGGGGCGGCGCCAGCGGGCCGCCAGGGGGGGGCCCAGGCGCCGATGCAAGACGTCCGCGCGGAGCTCTGACAGTTTATGCTCGTAGCCAGTGTTCTTGCTCGAGACTACGGGGGGTACTGGCATAGGTGAAGGGGCCCACAAGCACACAAACAAATACACACAAATAAAAAGACCCCCCATACTTTCCCATATTTTCTGGGGCTTTGTCTTCCCCCCACTTCCCATATTTTCCCGTATTTTCTTCCCGTGCCCATTTCGGGCGTCCAAAAGAGCAGCGGCGCGGCGGGACGGAGAGGGGCGCCCGAAGACGCAGCAGAGGCAGCGCGGCCGCGCCGAAGAAGGCGGGGCCCGGCGACTGGAGTTCCTCCTCCTCCCTCCTCGTCCTCCTCCTCCTCCCCCTTCCTCCTCCTCCTCCTCCCCTCCTCCTCCTCCTCCTCCTCCTCCTCCTCCTCCTCTCTCCTCTCCTCCTCCTCCCTCTCCTTCCTCCTCCCCCTCTCCTCCTCCTCTCCTCCTCCTCCTCCTCCTCCTCCTCCCCGTAACCGTTTTGGCTCAAGACGGAGCTTACCTCCCGTCCCGGCTCCAGAGGCTCGAGGCCGAGGTGGAAGGGCAGCCCCTTCCCCAGGCCTGGCTGCCTCGGCCAGCACGGGCGCCCCGCAGAAGCGCCCCCTCTGCCTCCTCGGCCGCTGCTGCCATCGCCGAGGCGTCCAGATCCTGCTGCTGGCCGCCGTTCTGCTGTGTGCGGCGCAGCCATGGCGCCAGGCGACTCTGCGCGTCGCCACTCGCGCCCGAGAGGATCGGCCAAGACTCCGAGGTGCTACGCGGCCTGTTCAACGCCATCATGTGGGGGACGGTCCTGGACAGACTTGGGACACCGTCATTGTGGTAAATGCGGGAAGACCTTCACAGAGTCGGCCAACAGTACTAACAAGCAGACCGCCCAGCCCCCCAAGCCGCCCCGCTCCAGCTCGCGTGGCAACCGGTGGGCTCGTCGTGTCCAGTTTGGCGACGTTGCAGCAGTTCAGC